GTGGGGTAGAATGGTAAAATACGGGAGAATTTCTGCAAAAACGGGAGGGTTTACGTGAGTGCTGTGAACAGGAAGTGTTTGTGGAGAAACAGTTTTGTGAGGGAACGCAAAACATCTTTGCGAGATAACGCAAAACATCTTTGCGAGATAACGCAAAACATCTTTGCGAGGGAACGCAAAACATCTTTGCGAGGGAACGCAAAACATCTTTGCGAGATAACGCAAAACATCTTTGCGAGGGAACGCAAAACATCTTTGCGAGGGAACGCAAAACATCTTTGCGAGATAACGCAAAACATCTTTGCGAGATAACGCAAAACATCTTTGCGAGGGAACGCAAAACATCTTTGCTAGATAACGCAAAACATCTTTGCGAGATAACGCAAAACATCTTTGCGAGATAACGCAAAACATCTTTACGAGGGAACGCAAAACATCTTTGCGAGGGAACGCAAAACATCTTTGCGAGGGAACGCAAAACATCTTTGCGAGATAACGCAAAACATCTTTGCGAGATAACGCAAAACATCTTTGCGAGATAACGCAAAACATCTTTGCGAGATAACGCAAAACATCTTTGCGAGGGAACGCAAAACATCTTTGCTAGATAACGCAAAACATCTTTGCGAGGGAACGCAAAAACTTAGAAATATATATTTTCCTCCCACCCATTTTTTTTCTTTCACCCATTTTTTTTTTTCACCCAGCCAATTTTTTTCTCCTCCACTACGTCCCTTCCGGGGTTCCGTAAAAAACTGATGCTACCAAACTCTCCTCACTTGATTATTCAAGGTAATGTTGATGTCTTCCTCATTTTGATTAGATTTTGAAATGTCAAGTTGTTCGCAGATTTGTTGTGAGGAGTTTCATGTACAACCTCTTTTTCTTCTTCCATTAGCGACGCAGTGGCACAGTAGGTAGTGCTGTCACCTCACAGCAAGAAGGTTGCTGGTTCGAGCCTCGGCTGGGTCAGTTGGCTGAATACAATGGCATAATGATTCTGCTTGCTCACAGGAGGTACTTGATTTAGTTTTCCTCAAGCGATACATCAGTTTTTATGAGTAATGCGTGACACTTGAATTGAAGGGACAGTTCACCCAAAAATGAAAATAATGTCATCTTTGGCATCCTCCACTTGTTTCAAAATAGTTAGTTTTTTTTGGTTCCATTGAACACAAACTCATATTTTTTTTAAAGAAATTTGGTTCAAATATGGATGTCAATAGTTTCTAACATTCTTCAAAATATCTGCTTTAGTGTTCAACAGAAATTTAAATGGATTTAAAACACATGGAGTAATGGTGGCAGAAAAGAAAACTATCCTTTTAAATATTTTATTCTGAGACTTATTTATATGTGTCTTGTCTTTTGCCATATTGTCTTTCTAGCTCAGATTGTGATGGACCTGGAATGCGACACCAGTTACTTTTAAGTCAAGAACCAAATAAAGCACAGATGTGGAGGGATCTGCATCTAAACTAATTGGAGGAAATGAACCTTTAGGTATAAACACCTGCTTTATTTAGATCTGAAGTATTTTATTTGGCATAGAGTATTATTTTTTATTCTTATTCTAATTTTATTTTATGTATATACTAGGGATGTAACGGTATTGTAAATACCGTCATACCGCAATATTAATTTTTTTCGATATTACCGTAGTCGCATGACTCGGTAAAACTATAGGTCTTCTGAGAAAATTTGCTCAGGCGAATGAAGCGAACGGGAGGTAGCGAAAACTACAATTCCCATCAGCCCATGCTTGACCATCATCCCTTGCGGTCTGTTGTCGCTACAGATCCAGTAATGCGGAAATGGAGTGTGCTGCTAGAAGCGGGGATGAAAAAGAGCTGGAAAACTCTAAAGCGGGTGTTGTCGCCGCGCGCGTACTGAATAGCGTTGTTGTCGCGCGCGTACTGAATAGCGGTGTTGTCGCGCGCGTACTGAATAGCGGTGTTGTCAGCACACTGTTCAGATTGATGCAGACATGAGACCTCTATCTCACTCATGGTTTGTACTCTTAAGTGGGGGAAAGACAATGCACAACGTTACCCACTGCTGTCAACCTGGGCCAAGTCATATCTCTCTTGTCCCAGAAACCTCAGTGCCAAATGAGAGGGTTTTTTCTGTTGCAGGGGACATTGTAAATACCCAGAGATACCAGCTTTTACCAGATTATATTTATATGATAATTTTCCTTTAAACCCATCTCTATCTAAGTGAGTGAGTGATTAAATGTTGAATGTCATAAGTTTTCAACAATACTAAATTGAAACTTTATTTTTTTACATGGTTTAATATTTTTTAAGTTCCTGTTTCAAAGCTTACAGATAGATGGCTAATTTGTATGTCATTGACACTTTTGGCACTTTTTTGGAGTATTTTCATAAGTTTTGTTTTTTCCTGTTAATGGTTCAATAAATACCGTACCGTGACATTCATACCGAGGTATTACCGAACCGTGAAATTCTGATACCGTTACATCCCTAGTATATACTGAATAGAAGTCATTTAAATTTCACAAATGATTGAATATAAAATATCATCTAGATGTCTTATTTTTCATTGTCTTAAACAGCGGTGCTCAACCCTGTTCCTGGACATCGACCTTTCTGCAGAGTTTAGCTCCAACCCTGATCAAATGCAACTAAACAAACTAAATAGTATCTGAAGGAGTACTTGGTAATTAAAGACAGGTGTGTTTGATCAAGGTTGCAGGTGAGCTCTGCAGAAAGGTAGATCTCCAGGAACAGGGTTGAGCACCCCTGATCTAAATGCTCAAAAATGCTGTTTCCGAGGCGAGGTTGGATGTAGTTCAGAAATAGATTCGTTAGGATCAATGCTTAAAGTAAATGTTCACTTCTCTCTGTAGACCAAACATGCTTAGTATCCCACACATTTTAATAAATTATTTATTTTGGTTACTTTTACATATATATATATGGGTAAGCAAGTATTTAATAAATAAAATTATTTTAAACCACTTGACTTAACCAAATGACTCTATTACCCTAGCTGCTGGGAAAAAAACATGTAAAATAACAGATTTTTTTTTTTTTTTTACAGTGTGAGTGAACACACTACCTTGATGTCCAACAAAGACTGCACAAGAGCTCATTTGATGGCACATATTCTGTCCTGTCTACATCTCTGACGAAATGCTTCGACATCAGTGAGTAATAAATCTTCATATTATCATGCATTCAGGATTTATGTAAGCCTATCTTTAATGTTAGTTTGTAATCAGCAGTGACTGTTTTAAAAAAATTGGTATTTAAATTATTCTTAACGTTTTACTGATGCTGTGCACGGTAACGTCATGATGATTTAATTTGAGGAAATGTCACTAGTGAGGTGTAATAATATTTATTTGTCTCACTGACATGCCATCACTGCATATTGAAATACAGTAATACGAATTGACCGAAAAATATTATCACAAACATTTTATGAAGTAGACTGCTTGACTACTCTTCAGTTCTCTGCTCAACTTTGACACATTTGATTGTGTTGCTGCGCCTTTCGGCAGATTTTGCCAAAAGTGAATGCTTAGTAATTACTTTGTTTTATGCGAACCAAATGTCAGTAACTTATCATTAGCATTATTTTCAAAAATCACCCACGGCTTTCATGTTCTCTAACATAATCTTGTCTGTAAGTTAGAAGTAGATTTTCACATGTTAAAAGCCCTAAAGTACTTGATTAACATTAGTCACGTTAAATTAGATTATTTTATTTATTTATTTTAAATATGTAGCCTCTTAAGGTCAGAATGAACTGTGTTCACCCCTCTTAAATTCGTGGAAGTGCTAGTGTGGTCATGGAATCAGATATTCAAGCTATACAGAGTCAGACATTAAGTTAAGATAAGACTTTATTTTTTACATACCTGTGTGGACACTTGACTAGTGTTGACTTGACTGATCTTTTCCCCATTAAGGTTAGTGTAATTGTAAATAGACAACAATCTGTATTTTGCCGACAAAAACGATAAAAAAGTGTTTTATATATAAAACAGCAGTGCGGTGTTTGGTTTCTGAATGAATGAAATAATTTGAGGTATGATAAGTTTTTACTCCAGTGATTGATTTTGCCTGTCATTTTTGCAGGATCATCAGAAGTGCTCCTGCCCTTTTTCACTGTCCCTTTTCCACAACATAATTTGGCCTTCATCATTTCGTGTCTTGTAGCAGTATTTTCATCTGTTTTTAAAATTGTAATACTTTTTGATACATTAATTGTTGACTAATTTTAATGATCAATTGTTCATTAATTGTCATTAGTGTTCTGTTGCTTTGATATATTGAATAATTGCTACTGTTTCAGTGGGGTTTACACAAACTTTTATTGTGAAGTTAAAGTTTCTGTTTCTTTATTTTTCTTGTATTTCTTGAACAGTTTAAATAACATTTGTGCAATTTTTGAACCTTTTTTTGCTCATTATAAAGTAGCACTATTAAATACAATAAAATAACATTTAATAACTGTAAAATACTATACAGTAATAATGGACGTAACGTTAAAATACCATAGTTCTGCATGGTAAAAATGTACAGTAAAATACTGTTTTCAGTTTTGCAGTATGTGTATCACTACTGTAATTGGTGTTACAGTAAAAAAATAAAACAGTAAAATGATGTATTACATTTTACAGTAAATGTAATACTAAAGTAATTAGTATTACAGTAATGTTACTGTTTTATGAAATACAGCAGCTACTGGATAATTGTTGCCAGTAACTTACTGTTAATTTAACAAGAAATCGTTTACAGTGTACGATTTTGGATTTGCCTACACATACCTGTTTACACCTGATTTGACCATTGCTTGCCTGACGCTGAATAAACCTGCATATTGGATCTTACCTCCAGTTGTCTCTGTCACTCCCTCCCCGGTTGTAACAGTGTGTGTGTGTGCATGTGTGTGTGAAGCTGCGTCTTAAGGTGACAGAGTGCATAGGGCCCTGGTAATTTAGGGGCCCAGCGGCAGGTTACACTTTTTTATTTTCCTGTTTCATCTTCTTATCCTTCTCCTTTTACTTCTCCTCCTCATCGTCATCCTGCTGCTGATTATTATTATCTTTTTCAGTTTATTTACAACACCAAGAGTTCATTTTAATCAGATATTTGAACAGATGAACAAAACAGACGGGGACAAAAGAATTTGAATGCATCTTTTATTGTTTTTCTCCACCTCCTCCATCATCCTCTCATTCTCCTCCTCTTATTTCTCTTTCTCATCATTCTCCTGCTCACCCTGCTGCTGATTTTCCTCTTTCTGTTTCTCTTCTTCACCTCCTCCTCATCCTTTATCTCCACTTTCAAGTCCATCATCTCAATGTCCTCCTCATTCTCCTCACTTTCCTTCTCTTCTTTTATCCTGCTCATCTCCTTCTCCTCTTTCCTCCTGCTCCTTCTCTCCTTTTTCTCCTCTTTCATCCTTCTCTTTCTCTTTTTCCTTCCATCCTCCTCCTCCTCAATCTTGTCCACCTCCTTCTCCATCATTGTCTCATGTATTTCCTCCTCTTTTATCTTTCTCTCTTTCCCTCCGTCCTCCTCTTTAATCTTTTCCTCCTCTTTCTCCATCACTGGCTCCTCCACCTTTTCCACTTTCTTCCTTCTCCTTCTCTTTTTCTTGTCTTTCACCTCCTCCTCCATAATCCTGTCCTCCTTTTCCTCCTTTTGATCTCCGCAGGATAAGTTAGTGTGTGTCAGTGTGATTTCTCCTTTACTGACGTCCATCTCGTCCTCCACAGAGCGTATTTCATGAATGATGACAGAATTCACATCCAGACAGACCTCAAACGTGGAGCAGCACAGAGAGTCATCTGTTACAGGAGAAATTAAGTGGATACACATTTTACACTCTCATTTTCAAGATGTCTGTGTGAAGAATACAATGTATTAATAGCATTATAGACTGATGTGTTTATTTACCATCAGTGCCTTTGTCTGGAGAGTTTGGGAGCTCTTTCTGCTCTTCCTCCTCTTCATCCTCCATCTCCTCTTTGTTGGACGTGAGGCAAGAGATCTTCATGTGTTTTCTGCACGCTCTGAAGAACGACGCCAGCCGGCTCTTTTTCTTCCTTTTATCTTTCAGCTCATCTGTAAAAAGAAACAATTGTAGTACACACTTTTCCACAGTCATTTGAGAGGAAATACAAAGAAAAACAATATTTAAAGATGTACCTTGGATTTACAACATTTATTTTTAAGTTAAGTGCTTGTAAACAATTTATTTGGGCTGAATTATACAAACAAATTAGGTTGAATATTACTAAATTTGATTTGTTTGCTTAAATTCAACACATATAAATTGTTTGCAACAACTTATATGAAGCTCTTGAATTTAATCTAAGATATATTCATCTGTGTCCAGAAGATTAAGGAAGGTCTCATGGTGTTGGAACTACAAGAGGTTGAGCAATTAATAACAGAATTGTAATATTTTGGGTGAATTAATCCTCAAACTGTATAGAATGTGGTTTAAATAATCTCATATCAGGGAAACCCTTTACAATGTAAGCCTAAATACTGCTCACCATTGGAGCTGTCAGGTGTTTGACTGGACTGCACATTTTTCGGGTGAGCTCTGAGGAAAGATGGCAGTTTAAAGAAGCTCTTTTTCCTCGGCTTCACCACCGGTTCCTCCATTCTCGATTGGTCGTCTACCAGTTGGAAACACATTGTTGACGGTGTGTCACTGGGATATTTCTGGTCCGCAGTCATAGCGATGGCAATCTCGGTCTTACACCGTGGATTGTCAAAAAACTTCGGGGTATGTAGCTCGGACATCAGCAAATCACCAATAGCCTCGCTAGTTTGAAAAGCCATGAATAGCTTAAGTTTTTCACTAGGAAAGATGTTTAGTCGATGTCAGCAACTGCTACAACCTCCAAGCCACTATTGCAAACTGAGTTTTCAGAGTGCTGCACGGCTCTACGTACAGCTCAGAACGCGTTCTAAATGATGATTCTAAACGGTAACTATGGCAACGGGACACTTCTCTGAGATGTTTTCTTTCTATGAGAAATGACTGAGGATGAATTAAAAGTACATTAATACACATCTCAGCTGGATAACCTCCTTTATAAGCAAGCAAAGCTGTTTTATTTGTGAGTTTTAAATAATAATTAATTAGTAATTGATATATTTGATAGCAGAGGACTCAAAAAAAAAGTTTTGTAAAACTCAAACAACAAAACTCCCTTCATAAATACATTTTAAATAACGTATTACAAAAATACAGAACTGCAATACTTTTGTAGGCTACTACACTTTCAGAAAAAAAGGCAGGAGAGGGACATTTGTACCTAAAAGGTCCCTATTAATACATCAAGGGTACATATTAGTACCTAAAAAGCACAAAAGTCTACCTCTTAAAATGTTTAGGTACAAATAAAAGCTTTTGAGGTGTCATTATGGACCCTTTATAGTGCAAATTCGAAAAGATCCACCCCAGTGACAGCTCTTGTACCTTTATTTCTGCATACTGCACAATCAGGGGCGGACTTAACCAATAAGCAAGGTAAGCAACCGCTTAGGGCCCCGGAAAATAGGGAGCCTCGGCCAATGCCAAGAAGCCTATATTAATAATCCTAAAGCTAGTTAATAATGTTCCTATTATATTAATAGAAACATTAACTATTAACGTTATTACTTCTTTTCTAAACCGGGGCCCCTATGAAAAGTGAAACGTTCCTTCCTTACTGGACATGCAAATATTAAAATCTAATCACAAATCACGGCTAATGAACTGTACATAATTTGTGAGCATGTTTTTTTTAATTTGTGAATTTAAGCAGTTGCTCGTGTGACTCTGTGGGAGATCTTATGCCTGATTAAATCTAAAGACAGCATTGGAATATAATTATTTAAACATTTAAAAAATAATTAAAGATAATCAAATTTAATAAAACTATCAAAACTTAAAAGGTTATGTTTACATATAAATTCACAATGATACCATTGCATTTAAGGTCATAATTTAAATTGCTTGTTTATATATTGAGTCAATAGGTTTCAATGTAGTTAAAGAGGCTTGTGACCATGAGGCAATGCAATATGTCAAGTGAGAGAATATCATTGTGTGCATGTATAATTTTGCAGTTTGATATTTAAAAAATCTTCTGATAAAACAAAAACAGTTTTGACTGTTGGCTTGACCTTCTTACACATATTTTAAACATGAATATGACATTTTAAATCAATGTCTAAAGTTATGCCAAGAAACTTAAATTCATTCACTTCTTCAATAACTTAATTTTTAATCAGCACCACAAATTTATATAACATAGAATCTGTTTTCTTGACATTTAACGTTAAATGAGGCAGCTCAAGCCATTTTGAAATATGGTGTAAAGCCTGAGTCAGTTGCTCACCTGCCCAGCAAGGTGTTTTAGCAGACATATAGATGTCTAGGTCATCTGAATAAAACTGGCAGTTAACCCCTGGGCCGCAATCTGAAAGATCATTTATGTACACTGTAAACAACAATGGGCCAAGAACAGACCCTTGAGGTACTGCCATATTGTTAGAACCCACAGATGACTTCACCCCACTGACCCTTACATATTGCTGTCTCCCAGTCCCACCCAAAAAAATACTAAACCACTGTAAGGCCTCTGCTGACTATTTAGCAGACGCATTCATCCAGAATAAGAAATTAAACAATAAATATGAGTCAAATATACAAAGGTGCCATATTATTAAGTAATTAATTTATTTATTAATTAAAATAAAACTAAGAACAAACCAATAGACAGATTTAAAATTGGATGGGCTAGAGTAAGAGAGTCAAGAATTTATAAAAATGTCTGCCTCATTTCTGCCTCTGGGATGGCTACACCTGCAGTTAAGTGACACATATACGTCACATATGTCAAGAGTGCAGACATTTTTTTTTTGGCAAATGTCAGTGCATTGTATTTGACGTGAGTGGCTACTGGCAGCTAGTAAGAATTGATGAACATATGTGTGACATGCACTCTTCTTTGCTTATTAAAGACCACTCTCGCTATACATTTGCAGAGGTTTGAGAGTGTTGGTTAGGTAATTGCTTTTGTAGGAACATCAGGTTGGAATGAAAGCTATAGTTAAGTGTCATCAGCAAACCAGCGATAGGAAAAAGCATGTTTCCGAATGACAGATTCAACTGATGTCATGTAGATGCGGATGTGAAGCGGTGCAAGAAATGAGCCTTGAGCCATCCCAGTAGCTAGATGTTATTACTTGAAATCGTCACCCTTCCAAGACATCCTGAATGACCTACCTGAGTGGTAAGCTTTGAACCAATGTAATGCGGTTTCTGAGATGAGAATTTGGTGGTTGACCATGTCAATAGCTGTGGGTAAATCCAGCAAGATGATTACTGAGGATTTTGCAGTCACAGTTGAATCTCCTCTTTTGGAGCCAGACTGGTTGCTGTCCTGCAGGTTGTTCTACATAAGAAACACTGAGATTTGATGGAAGTTCAAATCAGTTTTATTGTGAAATGCCATTGGCTCACATTGTTTGTGACATACTGTATAATGCAAATTTTGGATTAGCTATAATGTCAGATTCATATTTTAAATTAAATTGTATTGATGAAGCTGGAACATTTACGACAATTAAAAACCTTAAGTTTCATTTTTTTCCAAATATAAGGTTATTGTGTGGCTTTAGAAGTGTCGAATTGGAAGTTATTTGTGATGCTTCTAGCAATGTTTGTAATTAGTTATTAATGTACATTACGTAACAACAGTCTTGTCGTCTATCCAAGTTTTAGAAACAACAACTAATAACTTGTCATCTAGTTGATCATTTGGTATCAGAAGTGGGTTATATTAAAGGTAAATGTCTCTAGATTATGCTTATTTTACCAAAATTAAATATGATTATGCCTTGATTTTTAATTATCAATTTAGGACAGTAAGGTCTGACTTTGCTTAGATAAAAGTCTTGTCACTTAACAGAAATAATGTACAGTATAGAATATAAAGTCATGGTGCAGTGGAAAAAGAATTAATATTGTGTATGACTCCCATGAGCTTGGAGGACTGTATCCATACATCTCTGCAATGACTTAAATAACTTATTAATAAAGTCATCTGGAATGGAAAAGAAAGCATTATTGCAGGACTACCAGAGTTCATCAAGATTCTTTAGATTTAAATTTAATGTCTCTTTCTTCATCTTACCCCAGAAATGATCAATAATGTTCATTTCTGGTGACTGGGCAGGCCAATCCTGGAGCACCTTGGTCTTCTTTGCTTTCAGGAACTTTGATGTGAAGGCTTAATAATTTGCCCTCTCCTGTGGTTTGTAATGTAATGGGCAGCACAAATTTCTTGATACCTCAGGCTGTTGATGTTGGCAGATCTCTCACACGCCCACATACTGAATGTAACCCCAAACCATGATTTTTCTCTCACCAAACTTGACTAATTTATGTGGGAATATTTGGTCCATCTGTGGGTTCCAATGGGTCTTCTGCAGTATTTGTGATGATTAGGTTGCAGTTCAGCAAAAGATTCATGAGAAAAAAAAACTACTTTCTGCCACTTTTCCAAATTATTAACTAGAAATCAAGTTATTATTTGTTGCTTTATAACTGGGATCGACGACAATACTTTTGTCAAGTAGTGTATTTAATTTAAATAAAAAGTCAACCCATAATATAAAACTGATGCAAATAATTAAATCTGTTTGGATCTGAAGCATAAGGCAAACAACTGAAAGTACTGGAGAACACCTGAAACCAGTGCGTATTAGAACATGATGTCAAGAAGGCTTGACAGAGTGTCTGAAGATAAACAGACTTTTCTGTTTTCTCTTTTCTCTGAGTAGAAAAAAAATCACCCTTTAATCTCCAGCTACATATGAATTATGACTTAAATTGTGGTGTTTGACACTAAAGAGAACAATGACACAAGAAAAATGTGATTTAGCATATTAGGTTATATGGAGTACTTGATCATTTTACAACCCAGGCTCATTCTGATTATATTCTGATTTCCATACAGTATATACATATTTGGAGAGGGCCAATGACGACCCAAGAGTGTTTTTTTTTCTTTCTTAAATTTGCTAGAGGCCACTGTGTACGCTTTT